ATACATATATATTATATAGCCAACTGTTTACAAACATATGAGACATCTCTGTCCTGGTTCAGATAAAATTGTTGCTGTGTTTTAGCAGAGGCTGTGCTGGCCTTTCCTACTTTGCTGATAACTAGGCCAAGAAGTTAGGGGACAGACTAATGACAGCAACTTCCTGAGAGAACCTGAAGAGCCCCCGTGAGCCTTTCTATGGCCTTCTCAGAGTCAGAAAACAGTGGTCTAGGCAGGACACAAGGAGGGTTCATACCTTGTGCTACAGGTGCTGCAGGGTAAAGATCAGTTAGAGAACACCTTCTTCCCCTCTCTTGTTAACCATGAGGACCTGTGCCAGCTCTGCAGAAGCACCCTGTGCCCAGTCCCTTCTGCCCTGTGATTGAGAGAAGTCACCTGACAAGAGACAGTGTTCCTCACATGCTGGAGTCACGGTGAAACAATACGTATACAGCCAACATCTGTCTGCTAAGTGTCCGTTGGTCTTTTGAGTGCTCCTTACATGTCTCAGAAAACACTTGATGTCTGATTATGGAATTTTCTGACAATCATGTTTGGTTGCAAGTTGCCAAAAACACAAATTTGTTCTCCTTTTAGAATTGGGTCCTCAGAGGCTGCCTTTTCTATCTATAGGCTGCTCCTCCCCTGTCCTTTGGTGAATTAGTTGGGATGTTTTATTTTGCTTTGTTTTGGTTTTGACATTTAAAAAAGTTTTTTTAATTCAAAAATTTATCATTTTGTGTCTTTTACAAAGCTGTTTCCTATGGAAATCAGAACATACTTCTTAGAAATGCTTTTAAAGCCCTTTCTCTGGTGTTACCAGGAAGCCAATGTAGACCCTAGTATGGTGGCTCACACCTGTAACCCTAATATTGGGGGGGGGGGGCAGAGGCAGGAGAATTTCAAGTTTGAGGCTGATCTGGGCTGTATATTGAGACCCTGTCTCAAAAAACAAAAAAACAGAAGCAAGAAGCAAAGCTGGGCATGGTGGGTGCATACCATTAATCCCAGCATTTAGGAGGCAGAGACAGGTGTATCTCTGAGTTTGAGGCCAGCCTGATCTGCTTAGGAAGTTCCAGGCCAGCTGTGCTACACAGTGAGACCTTATTTCAAAAAACCAAAATAAAACAAAAACAGAAACAAAACACATATGCCAGGATCATATGAAAATTATATCCCTGAGGCATGGAAAGATGCTTTTTCCCTGAGGGCTTCTTCTGTTCCTGGTTATATTGGGCCTACCCATGAGTAGACTAGGGATTGATCACGAAAGGGAACCTGGTAACAGTTCTTCCAGAAGTGGGTTCTCACTCCGGGTGTGGTGGCGCCAGCCTTTTATCCCAGCCCTTGAGAGGAAGAGGCAGGTGGATCTCGTTGAGACCAAGGCCAACCTGGTCCACAAAGTGACTTCTAGGTAGGCAGGGACTAGGGAAACCCTGTCCAAAAAAAAAAAATAGTGGGTTCTCACTTATGACACACATTCTTCTGCCTTGCTGTGACAAGGGACTGGGCTGCATGTCATGTGCTTGACCTCTACAGCACATGGTTGTGCTGTATTCTTCATGCTTGTCTTGGTCACCCCTCACTGGGCTTTGATCTTTACTTTCCCTCCATTTCTGAGAGGATGTGCATACACTTCCTCTTCTCTTTGGTTGCTGCAGAAAGTTAATAGTTATTGGTCTCTAAACCACAGCCTGGACATAGGAGATGTCAAAATATGTTCATTTCAAATGATGCCATGCAATATGGTGATTTTATCAGTGGATAGAAGATTTTTAATTTTGCCTTAAAACCAGAATTGCAGAACACCACGTTCCCAGCCCCACCCTCCTTTGTTTGTCAGCACATTACAGGCACACACTAGCCCTGGGTCTTGGCTTTCAGCCAGCACTTTACAGCCTGTCCAGTAAGCCTATATCTCCTCTTTCATCATGCTGAGTCTTCCTGTAGACATTGGCTTTGCTCTGGTGGTCCTGCTAGGAAAGCCCAGGAAGGGGTCAGTTTGTGGAGAGAGAGATGTGTTCCAAAACTGCTCTCTGAGCTCCCTCAGGTGAGGAGATAACGATGTGCCTACTTCCTGTGGTGTCCCACATGCTTGGCTTTCCAAACTCTCTGCTCTGTGGCTGCTGCTAGCTAGTCCTTTGGCCAAGACCGTTCAGCCCTGTGGGGTCCTGATTTACCAGGTGAAGCCAGCCCAGAGGTCAGCAGTTCCAGCCTTGCTGCTCTCCCCAAACCCTGTTTATGATGTGTGTGCATGGACGGTGCCTCCAAACTCCGTTTCTACTTAAAGTATTTGGACACCTGAAAGCTCAGAATTTCCTTTGTAGTCTTTCCCTTTACCCTGTGGCCTTCCTAAACCAGCTGTTAACCTGTTGACTCCTTCAACTTTTCCTAGGTAGGCAGGTGACAGAAATGTAGATTCTCTTAGAAAGTGATTGGTTCCTCTGAACTCTGTGACATCCTGGCGTTACGCACGATGCTGGGAACCAGGCCTGCTTGGAGCCAGCCCCTGGAGAGAAATTAGAGCAAGCTTTGTCTGCACCTAGCAAAGTAGGACTTTGTGGATCCTGTGCCGTGGGAAGGTGACCATCTCCTCAGCCCTTGTGAGACTGCGTGTAGTAGGACTTCAGGTGTCTCAGCAGAGGTGAGTGTTCTCACAGTGTCATCAGCTCAGGTTTAACCCACAGCTCCTTTTCTGACATGACACCAATTTTGTCTTAAAATTCACTAAGAGACATGATACAAAAAAAAATGTTTTTTTGAGCCCTCAGGAGCACCTAAAGCAGATATTTATCAGTATTTAAGTATTTAAGATACATCTTGTTTCTACTTGAAGCTTTAACCCCTTCCATTCCTGCAAGTGTGCCTTGAGAACCCCTGGGTCATGTTAACTTCACCAATCACTTGCCGACCTCATCTAAGTGGTAGTCTCTCTGCTCTTTGGCAGAGCTTCCTGTTCTCCCATTTCACACGTGATGCAGCAGAGAACATCCTGTGCTTTCATCCCTCTTTCTACCTTTCTTCCATCCTTGGGGTGTGGGCTCCCCAACCCCACCTCCCCTACATTTTGGGAGCACCAGTAAGATGTGGAATCAAAACTTGAGTTTCATGTGAGGCAGTACTGGGCAGTACTCTCCTCCCAGCCCTCTGTGGGCTGTCCCGAGAGCTGAAACTGTGAACCATTTAGGAATGGTGTTGGAACTTTTGAGAATCAAGAAGAAGGAGGAGGAGGAGGAAGAAGAGCACTGCAAGAGTTCTTGACTTTGGAATTCCAGACAAAAAGCTATGGCCAACAGAACCAGGGATCCTTCACCTTGTCCTGGGTTTCATTCTGCTTTGCATTCCCTTCTTCAAAGTGATACACCTGGCTGGTTGGTATGTCCGTCTCCCTGCCCTTGTCCGTGTGGTGACCTGGCGTGGTGATGTTGTCTGCTTTATCTGTGACCACGCAGTGCACAGAACAGTGGGGAGGGTCTGAAGGTGCCCTGGGCTCCCGGAACTGCAGAAAGCACATGTTCTGCCTGTCGCCTGTAAGCGGCTCCCTCTCACTACATTCCTTGTGAATGACAGCCAGCCTCTCCTTGGCTCCATTGTGCTCTCTCTGCTCGCTCTACCCCTCCCACCAACCAGGGCTCATGTCAGTGCACGCCCACTGTGCCCTGGCGAAGCTGGTGCTGTGAGTGATGTTTCCCATACAACTCGGTGCCAGGTGGCTCACCCTGATAGTCATTTTAGGCACATAACAGTGTAGGAATGAAAATGACTCCATGGATATTTAAATCTGTCATTTCATTTTGTTAATGTTTTCCCCTGATGACTTTTTAGCAATTTAACAAATAAAACAAAAAATGGACTGAATTGTCGTAACTATTTCATTAGTACAGGAAAGGAAAGTCACTGTTGGAGAACAGTGGCAGTAGAGACTGAAGTAGAAACAAAGTGATTGGAAGGTTGTGCTTGTTGCGGGAAAGTTGCCCTCCCTGGGCAGCAAGCATCACTTAGCCCCTACTGCCTCCATCCTGCCTGGAGGACTAGGGATTGCAGATCCTTACCCTGTGATAAAGACCCAAGGGAAGTTAGGAACTTGGAGCAGAGGCCCAAGGGCCAGGACAGCCTTCACACCATCACTGGCCTAAGCAAAGAAGAGGACACAGGGCCATGGGTTCTTGAAGCAACATAGCAAATGGTGGATAAACCCTGCCTCCCGTATTTACTGCTTAGCCTCAGTGCAGATTTCATCATGCTACGGGACCAAGAGGATGCACTGAAGTTGTGTAGGAAAGGCTCGCACTGAGCCTGGTACGTGGTAAATTATCAGCCACCGAGGCCCCTGCAGGCCCAGCACAGCACTCTCCAGCCAGGGCGGCCCCTGCTTATTTGAGTGCAGATTACAGGGGAGGCAGTGCACTGCCCCAGGTCACCATCCTGACCCCAAACCTTCTCCTCCTAGGAGCAAAGTCCCTGGAGACAGTGGGCCTGAAGTGCCCTTGGGTCCAGGCAAGAAAGGAGGCATCACTTCAGAACTCACCAGCCCCTTGTGACTGGGGCTGCTCCTGCTTCTCGGAGCCTCTTCACTCTTCCAGCCCCGAATCTCTAGCTAGGGCCTGCCTTCTGTCGGTAGCATGTGCTGCCCTTCCGGCAGTACCATCGGCGGCTACAGCAGGCCAGCGTTGTGTGCATGTAAGGGAATGACTGAGTTCACTATTGTTGAGAGTGTCAGCACAGAGGCTGAGGATTTGCAGGGGACAGCTTCAGGTCAGGAATGGAATCCAGCATGCCCCTTCAGCTCTTGGAGACTTGGCTCTTTGAACTTAGAAGGGACTTACAAGTGAGGTAGGAGAGGGACATAGTGCAGGCTTTGGACCGGGACAGACATAGATTCCAAAGGTGATGCAGTCACCCTGAACTGGGACAAGTGTCTTGCCCCTTTGAACCTCAGCTTTATCAATAAAATGGCAATAGGGAAGCCACCTTTCCCGT